AAAAAAACCAACAATTTTTCGTTCTTTTGAATGAAACATCATTTATATTGAATATAAACTCTATGGATAAAATAAATTGCTCCACATTGATGCTCAATAAACAAGAATGTGAAGTAAAAAATCTTCGATGCAATTTGTAAGGTTTCGTATGAATTAAATTACTCTTATCATAGTGACATCGACCATACAAGTGCTATTTGTTACATGACTATATCATCCAGTACTTCAGTATTCTGTAGGGTGCATACCATTGACCTTTTCTTTTGCTCTGATGAAGAAAGATCAACTATTTACTTGTTGCCAACTTTTTCTAAAGACATGAAACATAAACTTGGATGGATATTTGGATTATTCTGTAAGTTACTTTAATAAATACAGATCTTCAATGTTATCTAATACTTTTCTTTTTTCGTAATTTAAGTTCTATTTGTATACATTCCAAATTTTATTTATACTTTTGATTGTTATTATTGTGCAAATTGTTTAAATACACAACGTGGTGTTCGTATTACAGCTCGTCCAGAAGATTGGTGTTATGTAAGTGAATATCGATCGAGATGTTTTTTAATTAGTTTCTATTGTAAATAGAAAATCGTATGGCAATCAGGTCGAGGAAATCAACAAATAGTATCACGTGGTGCATCATCTGATTGTCGGCAAGATAATTATAATGATCAAAGTATGGCCATTCCAGGAGTCTTTTCAGGCGTTGCTCGATATTGTTGTCGAAAACATCTTTGTAATTCAACACCTCCACGTGTTCACTATTCATTTTTACTCATAGTTTTTTTTCTTTTACTTTTTAATTTCTTCGAATGTTTGTTTTTTGGTAGTGAACAATATTGATTAAGAATTGATTATTTTTAGAAAATGTTTAGAATTAAATAAAAAAAAACATATTTTCAACAATGTTGTGATTACCTGACTTAATTGATGAAATAATATTTTCTTTATTTCGATTCTCGCAAATAAAGTCATGGATAAGGATACAGTTTTTAATACCTCAATTCTTTACTGCTTTTTTATCTCATTACTCATGATGCACATTGTCAAAAGAGTCATAAAATAATATACTCTTGTGGTTGAAATAATAAAATCTATTGATAAAAGCGGACAGTTAACTATCCTTGTGTTTCGATTTAATATTGACTTCTCATTACAAAATGTTGTCGACATGAAGTATTTGTGCAATAGTCAAAATTTTTTTTTTTGTTTTAATTGATGAAATAAAATATCATTCAATCATTATCATAGTCGTTCAATTAGAAGTCAATGTACATCGAGCGCGAAAATATTAATTGATTTATTTCACAAGATGTTAGACATTAAATCAAACTTTTGTCAATTACCAATTTCTCATAAAAAAACTGAAAATTTAACTCGGACTTTTTTGCCATGTCTCACTTCTACTTTTTCAAAATCAACTATTTCGTATGTATACAATTTTTTATTGAATAATTACTTCATAGCTTATATATTGGTTTAGATCAAATCATTACGATGATATTAATTGTTTTGTTAATAGCCATTTACAATTGAAACGTAATGAAACGGACGGATATTATAAAACAAAATATCCCGATGTACCCAAATATTCTTCACTATCTGATAAAAAACGATCCTTTTTTGCTACTAAAACAAAAAGCAGGTAAGATCTTTATTTTATATAGTAAATTGAACACTCTAAAAAAATACAAATCAATTGTGTCGTTCTGTTGGTGTAGCGGTTATCACATCTGCTTAACACGCAGAAGGTCGCAGGTTCGACACCTGCACAGAACAGACTTTTTTGTTTTTAATTATTAAAACCAATAAATTTTTTGAATTATAATCCTTGCAGAAAGTTTTGAGACACTCAATAATAGTTTCCTAATACTTAATGTTTAAGTCAGCCCTAAAAGTAAGCATATATTTGGTATATTACTGAACAAACAAACCATTGCCATTGGATACTAGCAAAATAATAGCAAAGATCAATTAAGTTTTATTCGATTGAAAATTGTATTAAAGGAAACAGCTTGAAAAGCTGACTATTGTAGATATTTTTTTGTTTTGCAGATTATAAGAGGTAGAGATTTTTTGCTGGAAAATGCTAGTGATCAAAACGAAGCTTTTAGAAAACTACTACGAACAAGGAAAAATCATATCTTTTTTTTGTTTGTGTTGCAGAGCGGAATAAATTTGATAAGCAACACATTTTCGGACTCTCTAATACATCAAATAATGTACTACAAATTGGAACAAAATAGAAATCCAAAATTTCGAAGTATTCTAACTATTTTTACATGAAAAAAAAAGGCAATAAGATAAACTTTTCTTTATCGTTATCGCCCAGTCCATTTATTTGATATGTTAGAGAGTTCTAAAGTGTGTTGTTCTGTCGAATTTATTCTGCTTTTCAAGACGAACAACAAAATAAGATACGATTTTTCCTCATTTAGAGTAGTTTTCTAAAAGCTTCATTTTGATCACTAACATTTTTCAGCGAAAAATCTCTACCTGCTATAATCTCCAACATAGAAACATATTTACAATAGTCCGTTTTTTAATTTCTTTTCATTGATATAATTTGCAATCGAAGAAAGGTTAATTTATCTTTTGTTATTATTTTGCTAGTATCAAATGGCATTGATTTGTTTTTTCAATAATATGCCAAATATAGGCTTACTTTTAGAGCCTACTTAAACATAAAGTTTTGGGAAATTACTATTAAGTATCCCAGAAATTTTTGCAGGAATTGTATTTTTTAATAATTATAAGTTGTATCAGAAGCATAAGACAACAATAATTATTAGTTTTGATTAATTATTTTTATATACAAAAAAAAAATCGAGTATTGAATGATTTTATCAGAAGAATTCTTTGGACAAGAATGATACGATTAAAAATTAGTAGATAGAATGTGGTTCTGTTGGTGTAGCGGTTATCACATCTGCTTAACACGCAGAAGGTCGCAGGTTCGACACCTGCACAGAACACTTTTATTTTTTGTCTGTAAATTTTTTCTTTTTAAGAGTAAACTAATGTTTAGATCAATGGAACTTATTTTTCAAGAAAATCCAACAAAGTTTATTCAATCAAAACTAATGACAAATAAAAAAAACAATCAATTATATACGTCACATTGGATCACAAACTGATTATCGTGAGGAATCAACACAAACAGATCCTTTTTCACCAACATATACTATTTCTGGTGGTGAACATCCGGAAGTATTTACTTTATCTGACTTTACTTATGGTAGAAAAAATTCTTGTTTTTAACATTTTTGAAATTATTTATTTACAGGTAAAGGTTTACCAGTAACATCTATTGAAATATCTTTTATCGAACGATTACGAGCTCGTCGTGAATGGGAACAGAATCATACGATAGATATGACACGTACTAAACTAGTTATCGAACGTGAAATACGTCAATGGCAAATACGTGAAAAAGAAATCAAAATGTACGATTTTTAATATTATTTAATATTGAAGATTTGTTTAATTGTAAGGTTCCAAGATGCATATCATAAATTATTTACAAAAAATCTTCATGCTTATATTAAAATTGATGAAGATCTCACACAAAATATCATTGATTTATTTATATATCGACAAGAAAAACAATTAAAATTACAACATAAACGACTTGAAACTGAAACATCTCGAGGTAATCAACGGAGTCGAAAAAAAAATAAGGTCATTAAATCTAATATGTTCTATAGATATTCGTCGTATAAAACGGATGTATCGATTACGAGCAGCTCAAATAAATGCAGTAACAAGTTATAATCATTTGGGAGTTATTGGTATGAGTCAACGTGGAAATGGTTGTTTTACATTATTGAAACCACCGTGGCATAAACGACCTGATGATATAATAACTACTTTTAAAAATATGACTTCTAAAATATATACACCTTGTTCTAATTTTAATTATTTAATTGATCAACATATTCATCGATCTCGAATAAATATATTCAAATTAGAAGAATTATTACCTAAGAATGCTTTAATTGCAGAAATTGATGAACCTGATCGATTAATGATACTTAAAAATAATCATAATAAAAAAACATCTCGTCGTATTCGAGATTTGGAAAAAGCTTATCAAGTATAAGAATAATTTTCTTTTGAAAAAAAAAAATTTAATTTAAATTTAAAAAACAAAAATTTTAGTTGATTCAAGAAGAAAAAACTAAACAATTATTAATACCAGAAAAAAAATCTCTTCGATTTGTAGAAAAAATCGAACTAATAAATCATGTTAAACAATCACAAACAATACCAATACAAATAGAAGTTTCTATTAGAATTTTTTCTAAATTTATATTTCTATATGTTTTTTTCTTGCATCAAGAGACATGATCATCGTCGTATAGCTATTATCAAATTACAAAATTATTTACGTGGTATTACTGTTCAATCCAAAGTAATCATTGATGTTTTTCTTCTTTATTCGAAATATCTTTTTTTTTCTGTATTTTATTGATTTCAAATATTCGTCAAATTCGTCAAGATTTATTAGATGAATTAAGAAATGGATTAAAACATGATCAGATATCATCATTAGATAATACCAATGATAACTATAGAAATAGATTGGTATCACCACGTACTCAGATATATGATTATCTTGAAGGTGCAACAATAGCTGATATGTTTGATTTTTTATCAAAAGAACTACTTCGTCTTCAATGTGAACATATTATTCATTTATTTGTATTACTTGCTGATCGATATCGATATCAACAAGAAACAACAGAAACTGCTTGCCGTATAAGATCTATTGAACGACAAATACTAGAAGATCATGCACTTCAAGAAGTATTCGTTTTTTAAATATAAAATAAAATACAAAAAAAAATAATATTGAAAATTTTAGATGTTTTCATTAGATTCAAATTGTGATATTAAATCTTATTTAGAAGATCTTATTCTTGAATCAATTACAAATACTGCTAATGAACAAGCAAAATTAGAAATAAAACAAATAACTGAAACATTAGTCAATCTAACTGATGAAATAAATAATTCATTGTATGACTCTTCATAATTTAATTAAATATTTTTTCATTAACTTTTATATATAGATCAAATCAAAATGATATTGAAATAATTATATCTCAACTTGTTCATCAATTTTTATTTCCTACAATTCAAAAAATTCTTACTCAAGAGAAATATAAAAATTTTCATCTGCTTATCAAATTACCTGCAATTAACAAATGATAAAATATAAAATAATAGATGTATGTGTGTCAAACACGAAATAGGATAAGGATTTATGTTTCTTTTTTTTAGATAAGACGACATCAATTAAACAAACTACGCACTATCTTTTTTTTTCTAATTATACGATATGATATAGTGCGTATGTTTTTGTTTTTAAATTTCAGATCATATTTCTTATTACTCTACATCTTTCATTTATTAAATCAAGAGATTAGAAGCTGAAATACCGGGACTTATGAAAAGAAAGGAATATATGAAAATTCTTTTCAATAAGTTGATGAGATTCATTAATTTGTATGTTCAAAATATTCTTTGGACTTTAATACATCAGGATTAATTGTTTTCTTGCCTGGTTTCCAATTTGCCGGACATACTAAATTAAAATAAATAAATGAAAAATAAATTAAATATAAAAATATACCTTCGCCATGTTTATCCGTAAATTGAAAAGCTTGAACTAATCGAAGTGTTTCATCAACTGAACGACCAACTGGTAAATCATTTATTGTTATTTGACGAAGAGTTCCATGTGTATCGATAATAAATAAACCACGAAATGTAATACCTTCATCATCTTTTAATACACCATATTTCACTAAACAGAAAATTTTCTTTTTTTTTTTCTTTTTAAATTTATATAAAATATGAATAAAAGACTTACAAGAAATTTCCATAGTCTTATCGGCCAATAATGGAATATTCATTTTTCCAAGGCCACCTTGTTTTCGGTTTGTATTAACCCTAGAATAAAATATTTATTTAAAATAATAACAAAGAAAAGTTTTCAATTTAATACCAAGCAAGATGACTAAAATGAGAATCTGTTGAGCAAGCTAATACTTCACAATTGATTTGACGAAATTCTTCAATACGATCACTAAATGCAATAATTTCTAAAGAAAAATTTCTTTTTTTTTTTTATTATATTAATCGATTTTCAATATATTATACCGGTTGGACAAACGAATGTAAAATCGAGTGGATAGAAGAAAAGTACTATATATTTGCCTTTATAATCTTGAAGTGAAACTTCTTTAAAACTTCCATCAACGACAGCTGTTGTCTTGAAATCAGGTGCTGGTTTACCAATTTTTGCTGACATTTTCTTATTCTGTAGTTGCTAATACAGATCTAAAATAGAAAAGAAAGAATAAAAATTACATATGCATCTTTTAAAATGGTTTTTTTTTCTTATTCATGAATGCGCGGATGCATTTAATTACGAGTAGTAAATAACTCATGAGAGTCACAAATCTTAGAAAGGCATATTTGACAGGAAATGACTTCTTTTTTCTCTCTATTTATAAGTCACTGTCACTCTTGATTCGCTCTTAGAAAATTTCTTTATAAAAAAAAACCTAAGCTTCATTGAAGAATAGTGCAAGTGGGACAAAGTATATAAAGTTATTATCTATGCTATCACTGACTCATAACGAAATTACGAATGTTCTATGTCATTTATCTTATTTGTATTTTCGTAGGGATGGGAGAACACAGAAAATATACTATATTACTTTATATTGGTAACGAACGAAAAAGAAAAAAAAACAAAAATGACGCGGAGGGCGACCACTTAGAAAAGACCTTCTGGTTTCTTATCAGTACATAAGCAAATATTGAAGATTATAAGATTTTCGTTCTTTTCCTGGAACATTTTTACATGATAGATCCTTTTCAAGTACATTCAGACAGGCATATATTTAGATGTCGCCTTCATTTAATGTATTCAACATGACTCAAAATTCATTGGTTGAAAAAAGAAACAAACCAATTAATATATTGTCGTTTTCTTCTTGGAGACATTATTTTCATCAATTTATTTATATTACTGATAAAAATATAAATATTAAATGTCGACAACAAAAGACGTTGAAGTTCATGTTGAATATGCTGATCAACAAAATATAAATAAATTTGCTCGTAATAATGCAAAATTAACAGAATTAAAAGAAGAATTAGAAACAAAACGAAAAGAATTAGTATCATTATCCGATGCAAGAGAAGCTTTAGATGAATTATCAATTTTATCTGATGTTCCAACAGCACCATTACTTGTTGGTGAAACATTTCTTATTGAACCAACTGAAAATATTTTAGCATCATTAGATATACGTAAACGTAAAATTGAAAAAGAAATGGATGATATACAACAACGTATACAAATAATTCAAAATCTTTTAAGTGATTTAAAAGTTAAATTATATGGAAAATTTGGTAAAAGTATTAATTTAGAAAATGATGAAGAATGAATAATAAAAGAACTAAACGAAAAAGAAAACACACAATTAGTAACTTTTTTTCATATGTTATACGATTGTTAACAAATAAATGTTCTTTTTTTTTACCGAACAAGAAATAAAAATTTCTCACACATCAAAACCAAAAAAAAAAGAAACTGGTGTTTAATCTTAAATCAAATCAATGGCAGTATTTTCGTTAAAAAAAAATAATAATGATAACGTACGTGCATTAGGATTAAATTTAAAAAGTATAGTACAAGTTTATGGATTGATATAGTTAAATAATATTTATTCATTATTATGAAAAGAAAATTGCATGTTGAAGCTCAAACGGGCAACTATTCATATATGAAATGAGGACATGTTTTCTCATGTGATTCGACTGCATGAATTATAGCCAATTTCCTTACACGTGCATTAGTTTGTCTAAGAGGAATGCGTGTGTATTAATTTCAATTAATTTTAAAGTCAGTATTTATGTAATTCTCAGGATAAACGATGAAGGTAATTATTGTTATAATGTCAAATTATGTATCTAGAAATATGTCACTCCGGAGGGTTAAGCAGTAAAGTAGACCTTGATATTCTTTACCATAATATATTAAAATATTCTTTGGGTTAGATTTTCGATATGCATATATGTGTATAGTAACAACTCAAATTGTTCATTGTATTACTGAATGAATGAGAAAACAAGGAAAATTTAACGGTCATTATAAACTGTTTTAGTGGTGTATTTCGAAAGATATAGATGTCGTAAGATCAAAAATTCAAAAATTTCTTTATCTTGATTGATGAATATAAGTGATAAATCAATATTTACCTTGCGATAGTTTATTGTATTTATTCATTCGTTCATTCACATTTATTTTTATTCAATTCATCTGAATTTTTGAATTTGAACTGTCCGAAGTCTATTTTTCGAAACAAGTCATTACTACAATTGATAGTTCAAATATAAACTAGATATTTGTTTGTTTTTTGTGTTCTCCAGATTAGTTTATTTGAAAAGTCATAATGGACAAACATATAATAAATGTATTCAATTTGGAATCTAATGTTAATCATATAACGCCCTTGGATTTATTTAAAATATATCGCAATTTTGATGCATACATTGCAGCATTACAAGATTATGCATCACAACATGAACTTACTGAAGTCGAAAAATTTTATTTCAATATCGAAACTGATCCTCGTCGTAAATTTTTCTATGGAATAAGTCAAACATATTTTAATAATTATTTTCTTTTAATTTATTTTATTTTATCAAATCCAGTATTAATTACTAAACCAACATTTACTAATCTTTATCGTGAAAAACATTTATTATCTGAAATTACTGATCATATTATTAATTTATATGAAACAATGGATTCTAAATCATCTCGATTTTTTAATAAAATTTTATTAGATAAATTTATATCGAGTCTTGATTTTAATTCATTACCTGATGATAGTACTGGATTAGAATATAAAACATATTTTAGTTTATTTACTCAAGAAACAATTCGACTTAAAATGTATTTAATTAAATTAATCAAAGATCCAAAATGGTTAGAACATCCTGAACAAGGTTTATCAGAATATGATCCACAATTTTATCAATTTATATTTGAATATCATACTGGTTTAAAACTAAATTCATTAAATGATTTTATTCAAATAAAAAAATGGGCACAAAAACATTTAGATCAACTTATGAAAGAAGTTAATCAAACATGTAATCGTTTATTAACTAATGATCAAGATAAACAAAAATCAATATATGATAAAATGATACTTGTTGGTAATGATCAAAGTCAACATTGGTCATCTAAACAAGAAATGATCGATGCATATGAATTATGTATATCAAAATATCGACGTATTTTTATTGCACAAAATCAATTTAAAGAATTTGATCCACCAGGTCTTATTGTTTTTGATAATCCACTTTTAGCTGGTGGTTATTATCATAAAGGAAATTTTTATTTAAATATTTGTCATTGGGCTAATGGAAATTTTAAATATGAGGTAGAAAATTTAACATTACATGAAACAATACCAGGTCATCATTTACAAATCGATATATCTCATCATTCACCTAATCAAAATTATTTAACTGCACTTAATTATGAACCATGTAATGGTTTTGGTGAAGGATGGGCTTTATTTGCTGAACATTTAGGTGATTCAATGTTTGATGATCCATGGATATATTTTGGTTATTTACAATCAAATATTTTACGAACATTTCGTATTATTGCTGAAATTCTTTTACATGTTGAAGGACAAACACCTAAACAAGTTATTGAATTAGCAAAACAATATTTAACAACAAGTGAAGCATCTATAACATCTGAAATTTATCGTTATAGAACTATGCCAGGTCAAGCATGTTCATATAAAATTGGTTTAGAAGTATTTAAACGTATTATTAAAGAAAAATTTCATGTTGTTGACATAAAAGATTATATGAGATCTGATCTACAAGATTGGTATAAACAACTTTTATGGCAAACTGAACGATCACTTGATATATTATTACGTGAAAATGAAGTTACATGGACATTTGATGAATAATCTGTTTTTTTACTCTTTTCATGTTATAAGATGATTTTGTCTAGAACATTTTCATTGTTTTTTTTTTATCTACTAACATGCATAACGCAAGATCAACACTAATAGTTACTTTTCTGATAGTTTCAATTCTTATTATTAAAACTTACTACTTATTTTTCTCTATTGATTACGATAAAATCTTCCATAGTGGACACTGTCATAAAACTCATTGGCGAATACTTTTGAACGGACCCAATGGTGTCCTACGACAGAGAAGTTTTACTATATTTTAACAACTGTTAATTTTTCAAGACGAAAAATGAGCAATAATTAATTATTTTATTTACTAATACCCTTCAAATATCTAAAAAAACGCGTCTGCTTTTAGAAAAGACCTAACATTCTTATAGTGTATACTTTTGAAAAGTCTGAAAGGTATTCACTATAGAGAAGTTGCACTGTATTTGTATTAATAATCATATCTATCATAATTAATTTTAAGCAAAACAAAAAAAAAGATATACGATGAATTTTTATACTAACATAAATGAAAATTTATTTTCAATTTATTTTTATTGCAAAACACACAATATAAAAAGCAAAGAATATAAGTCATTTTTTTCCAGATCGTGCACGATGATTTTGAAACCAAATACGAATTGATGACAATGGTAAAAGGAGTTGTACAGCAAGTTGTTCTTGTTCATAAGGTGATGGATATCGATTTTTTGAATATGTTTGACGTAAATGCCATATTTGCCAATCAGCTAATTTACGTCGCGGCTGGAAATAAATAGATTATATATATTCAATATGTAATTCATTTGTAAGATACTAACTTTTCGTTCACTAACTGTTGAACAATAAATATTTTCTTTATTATCTTTATCATGTGCTACTGTAGACGAATTTAATGAATTATAGCCAGTATCGTCTAAAGATAATATAGAAAAGAGTAATTATATTTGATGTCAAAACTTTAAAAAAAACAAAAAATAACTGCTAAAATATACTTACCTGCATTTCACATACTTACTTGAAAAATCTGATATATACATATTTTTCTTTGAATTTTGTATATCCTATTTGGAAAAATGACATATCGGATGTAACTTACCATGTCTTTGGAAAGAAAAAGGAGAAGAACTAGGAGTCAAAGAAGATGTATTTAAGGATGAGATAGCTAATGATTCAATTGAATGAAAATTAACACGTGGTTTATACGTTGGATATGGTGTACTTGTTGTTCTTATTTCGGATACTTTTTGTGACGAACTATAAAATAGAAAATTATTAAAATTAATAATATGCTTTCAATATTTGTTTTTGTTTCTTACTTCGGACTTGTATTACAAATATCAATATCATCAGATGAACATGATGAAGTTTGATCGTCATTCATAGAATTCATTTTTAATTCAATGAAAATATAGACAACTGACATGTACTTATATAACCAGTTCATGAAGTAATCGAGCAATCAATCAATTAACGATGATGCATTCGTCTCTAGCTGATACATGTAAATCAATTACAATGATCCGAATAGAATGATGATGATGATGTGAATATATGCTTAGGGTTAGTTACCTACTTATATTTGTTCAAATGGATTATTGAATGCTTCTCAATTAACACATTAAGAAAAGCCATTTTAGTTCTAGATAAAATTATATTAAGAATATAGGATATTGTTTCTTATTGAAATTCAAATCCTTATTTGAGTATAGATTTATGTAAAAGTATAGTTTTTTTTTTATTTTTTTTTTATCACTATATGTTTTATTGAAAGTACAATTTGTGAATTCTTTGTTGAACAATGTGAGGCAGTTGAATCACTTAAAATTCTTTCTATTATGAATAAAATTGATTGCATCGTTATATAGAATAGGTGACTAATTGAAGAAATATAGTGGTTCTATCGTGATTATTTCTTTTACTCTGATTAGTTTGATAGAAGAGAACAGAAAAAAAAATTATTTTCATATCGATGGCATAAATTCAAGGTGCCATTTTTTTTTTGTTGATAACAGCAGCAATATACTACACCGTCGATTCCTTTACTTTATCGATTACCTGGTTTCAGAGAAGGACAGCGATGTTGTTTTTTGTGATTATTATATCGATTTTCTCTTTCTTTTTTTTTCATGTGCATTTTTGTAATGCCAATATAATATAATCGGTATGTTAAGTAGAGGAGAGCAATTATTTTATACAGAGTAGTGTAAAAAAAACAAGAAGATCAACAACGATATGCTTATATATACACATATGGGCTTATAAAGTGAAGAGAAACTTCGTTATTACTTTATCAACTGTTCAGACAAAGTCAAATTAATGTATTGTTTTTTTTATATAAATTGATTAAAGTCAAACAAAACGAATTGTGTATATGGGTTCGATTAATTCAAAATCATCACATGAGAATAATTGTTCGAATACTTTACAAATAAAACATTATAATCGTTTTTCATCATTGTCTCGTCTTCAGTCGTTATTATCATCGTGTCATCATCAACGTGATGATAATGATTTTCAGTGTTTTAATAATAAAGAGCGTTCATGTTCGAAAAAAAAAGTTCTCATATTAGGTTTGGATGGAGTTGGAAAAACAGAATTATTCACACGATTAATATGTTATGATAAAAAGAGATTAAAAATTGATTCTCTTCCTCGACCAACAATTGGTAAGTTAATTTCATCAGGAGTATAAGTAGTCTAGAAACAATTTTTTCAATTTTGAATACTGGTCACTTCTCTCTCATGGTATTGACCATGAAAGATGACAATATAGCACTAGAAATGTATGAATATAGTTATAGAAGTCATAATATTCATTATTCAACATTTATAACGTTCTGAAATCAATCAATGACATTTTGTTTTGCTGTGTAAGAGAATAGAAATAAAGAAAATGATTTGTTATGTTTATAGGTTATAATGTTGAAACCATAAAACTTCGTTGTCATCATTTATATCATCGTCAATATCATAAAATCACATTATGGGATTGTGGTGGTCAATCATCTGTTCGATCATTATGGTCTTATCATTATTCAAATACTTCTCTTCTTCTTTGGTTAATTAATATATATGATCGATCAAGATTAGATACGAATCTTCATTTACTTTCACAAATACTTACAAATCCAATTTTTTATCGAGTTCCAGTTCTTATTGTTTTATATAATTCTTCATTGGATCAAAATAATCAAGAAAAATCTGATGAAAATACAAATCAAGATTTATTAACTAATCTTGAAATATCTTTTCGTTTTTTAGCTACTCTTTCAACATCTCGTGCTAGTACATTTAAATGGCAAGTTATTGATATTACATTAGATGAGAATGATTCTCAAAGAGATTTTAAAAAGATTCGACAATCATTTCGAGAACTTATGGAATTATAAATTTCTTTTTTTTTTGCTATCTTTTTTTTTATTTACAATTTTATATTTTTGTTTTAATCTGGTAAAAAACAAACTAATTGTCGTTCATCGTCATCAAAATCTTTTTCATCTGTTTCTGTTGGAAAAATCATCGTTGTTCCTTGATTATGGATATTAATAAGATAATTATTAAATTGAGGAATAACCCATTGTTCTTTCTAAAAATATGAAATTTAATATATAAAAGAATATTTAAAAATTTTTCAAAGATATACCTTAGTTCGATTAGCTTTGGCTTGTTTACAAAATAGTTGTCGTACTTGTTGATGTCGTTTTCCAATAGCTTTTATTTGTTTAGCTTCATCTTCAACATTTTGAAATGCAATTACTTCATCGTACATTTTATCTAAAAATTAAAGATCTATAAAACATATCTTCGATATTTACAAAACCTTTCATTGATTTTTCATTTTTAGTCTTAGCAATTGTAGTTGAAAATCTCGCTTCGAAAAAAAATACAAAAAATAAAAATTCAATGCAGTTTAAACAAGAAAAAAATAATCTGAACATACGTTTCATTGTTCCATCATTCAATGTTTGAGTTCTTGTACGTTGTTTGATTTCTTTACAAACAAGTGTCGATTCAACCGGTGGTATAAGTACTACTGAATTCCAAAATTGTTTTGCTAATTTACTTTCATCTTCTCGAGATCCATCGAATACAGTCAATGCTGTACTTTTTCTTGTATCAATTTCGTGAACAGTTGAACTTGGTGAATCTTTCAATTACAAGAAACAATTTATATAATATTCTTTCTTACATGCATGCTACTCACTCATTCTATCATATGAATTATGCCATTCTTTCATTCGTTACCATGGTAATGACTCGGATGACGACTAAAACAATGTTACTTGTTGTTTCTTTGCAAATATTTTGACTCGAGCAAGAGTTAGAAGTATAGAATTTGATCATACCACTCTCAGTTCATTGAAATATATAATATTATTCATCATTTGAACATATGAGGATAATGTATTTATAAATGTCGAAATCATTTAAAAGATTTGCAGATGTTTTATTGTGTGCAATATTCTAAAAGAAATCAATCGTATTCAAAATGATTGTGTAATAGTTATGGATATTCGATTTACATGTATTGAAACTTGAAGGTAAATTCTTTTTACAAGCGTCAAATTATATATGAAACATGGGTAAACCAAGGTCAAGTTTTTAATGGGAAGCAATAAACTTGAAATCGATCTATTTTGCTTTTTCTACCATTTAATGTACATTCTGGCAGTAAATGTTTATTTCACTTGAATTTTGTTTTTTTCAACAGCATGATATTTCGAAGCTTAGGTATTAACTCACTCGAGGATGTATTACGCACTTCAAATAAGTGTGGCGATTTATATTTAAAAAAAAAAGATTTATTCAAAACAATATAGAAAAAGTCAAGTGTCTTTGCTATTATCTCCCATTTATTGATCATTGTGTTCTCGCCTTGATATGCATGCAAAAAGTTATCAGTGATTTAAATAATTATTTTGTTTTTTTGTCTTTTGGAAAACCTATCAATGAAACAATCAATTAGGAAGATAGGAAGCCTGTCACTCAGGTTTTTTAGTTTACTTTTTAATGTTAGCAGCTAGTTAATCATCTCTTTGATTGTGAAAGAATAGGCAAATTCTTTTTTTAGACATTTGATATTAAATTGAAAAAACAAAATTGTCAATTTGGTTATAAAGAAAACTCATTCATAAGATTTTGGTTAATTAACTGTAATTCTTTTCCAATCAAAGTAGATATGAATCATTCGAGTATCAGAATGCCCGTCTTAGAGAATGAAAGTCAAGATACGATTACACTATTGATCTTGATCAAGCAGTAAACGTTGAGTATCGCTTACTCTGAAATGAGAGAATCCAAAGTAATCAAAATGTTGATTATGTTTTATTTAAATAATATTATGTTATATATATATTTGATGGAAAACACATTTATCAACATAACAATAAACAAAATCCTTAGTCAATTGTTGTACATTCACTATCGAGTAGTATTGAATATATGTACATTAGATAAAGTAGTCTTACTCTGGTATACAGAAAAGACGTAGAAAATTCGAAGAAACAATAAATTCCGATGGCTTTTTCTAATTTCTTTTAGAACAAGCAGTTGCTATTACTAGCAGTGCTGGTGCGCTGTCCATGGTATACAATCATAGTTAGTTCTCTTTCATTGATAAATAAAACTAAATATGATGACATTTCATATAATCATTTGGTTGTTGTCTCCTAATATGTTTCTTCTAATATTATCTTGATGCTTTATAGATTGTCATCTTTTGACAGTCTCTGTTAGATAAGCTAATTGATGATAAGCCATACTAGATTTATCTCGCTGTTCGGCAAAAAAAAGGCGAAAAAGTATTTTTCTTTAATCATCTAACGCCATATTACATTTAGTCTATTGCAAATATTATTGTAAGACGATGGGTTCATCATGGTTCGTTGTATTACTATTTATTGTATTTGTTATTAACATTGAAAGTCAATTAATTCATAAATTACAAGATAAAATAAAAAAAGTAGCAACACAAAATTTAGGTGTTGATGTTGCACGATTTGATCATGAAGAAATGATGTTATTTCCAAATCTTGGTTTTCAACGTAAAGAAGGTGATTGGCGTTTAAATTTACATGGTTGGCGTTTTCAAACATCAAAACGTAATAAATTCTTAAGTGAATCATCATCATCAGCTGGTCAACGTCTTGCTCGTTTACTTGCTACGTCCGAACAAATGGTTTATTATAATGATTCATTTCAACGTGATCGTTTAAAACCATTTATGGTACAAGATGAAAAATATGAAAAAATTCATATTATGATTGGAAAAAAACACAATTATACAGCAAAAACAGATGGTGAAGGACAATTTCGTACATCATTTATTATTCCTAATACAGATGTACAAAAATTGAAACAAACATCAAAAAATAGTCAAGTTATAACATATAAAGCTGTTGGAGACAATGCTGATATTTGGGAAGGACAAGTTCATTTATTAGAAAGATATGGTTTATCTGTTATATCTGATATTGATGACACAATTAAAATTAGTGAAGTTTTAGATAAAGTTCGATTGATAGCAAATACATTCATTCATGGGTTTCGTGTAGTAACAGGTAAATTAATAATTTATTTCTTAATATTCAAATATCGTGATAAATATTCTATTGATATACTTGTATAGGTATGCCAGAAGTATATCGTGGATGGCAGAGTAGACACAATTGTTCATTTCATTATTTGAGTGCTATGCCTGATCAATTGTATACAGTTACAAAAGAATTTGTTGATGATCATAAATTTCCTGATGGTACTTTTCATATGCGGTAAGATTTCATATTTTTATTTATTATCCTTATATTATTATCGGTTTTATTTTTGCTTTCAATAGTCACTTTCGTTGGTCTTCAACATCAATTTATACTTTCGTTCATTCTGTTGGTAAGTGTGTCATTTCTTATTTTACTCTATTATTATCTATAAATTATTGAATAGATACAAAAATGCACAAAACTAATCATTTACGTTATTTTGTTTTTAATACATTACGTTCATTGGTATTAGTAGGAGATTCAGGTGAACATGATCCAGAAATTTATGGAAATGTTGCACGAATGTATCCCAAACGAGTGATTCTTATTTTCATTCGAGCTGTCAAAGGTGAAAAAGGCGATGAACAACGATTTCTCACTGCATTCAAAGATATACCAAGAGAAAAATGGATGATTTTTACTGATCCAATTAGAGATTTACCCAAAGATCTACTTAGTAAACCAACTCCAGTAGCATCGAAACCAACGAAAAATAAAGTTCAATCAAAACCAAAACCAAAAGGATAAAATGAAAATCCTTTTTTTTGAACAATGTTTTGAATTTTAAAAATATACTCGCAGCATATTTTTAATTATATGCTCTAAATCAATGTTCTACTGTATCTTTAGTGTAGTAGATGCAAGGAGGAAAGAATGGAAACCTGAAATCTTGGAATTCTATGGATTCTCTACGATATCTTAGAAAATTCTGTGGAATTCTACGAAATCCTAGAGAATCCTGAACTGCGGATTCTGTAGAATTTTACAGAATGGCAGGATTCCACTCTTTCACCTTTGAATAGATACCATCAACAGTTCATATTAATGATATAGAATAAGAAGAAAATATAATATAATATGCTTGCAAATCAGCACAATACCATTCATTTTCGTCTTAGCTTCCTCTATCGAATCTTAATCATGATTACTAAATGTTGATTGTTCAATGCTTACTTGTCGAAATATCTATGAGTTTTCATTCTATTGTTCATCATCCATGCAATGTGTTCATCTTACGTATGGATCACGTTTGTTATGAAACCAATACAACAGATGTTCTTCTGTTTAAAAGTAAAGAGAAAGAAACGAAAAGTCAAAGAATCTGGACATATATTGATCTAATGTTTACATTTAGCAAACAACTTTGCAACATGATACAAACTAAATCTATCATTCAACTGAAATACACTAAAATACAATGATCGAAAAAGAGTATAGCAAATTATTTTGTATCCATGTATGTTAATATCGAGTTTGTATCATTATAAAATAAGATTCAGGCCGTATCAATATTGAGAAGCATATTTTCTGTACTTTTATTTTTCAAAAATCGTCATGTTTTATTTCAAATAGTTTTTAAATAAAAATCTTTTTCTTTGCTACTGTTACGGATGTTTTTCATTGATTCGTAATAAGATCATTTAATATAACGTCATTAGGTGCAGACTGGAATAAGATAGAACAAAATAACATTCAATATAGAGAAAAAGATTCTTTATTGTTTTAAAAAGTGTTACCTTACAGAGATGTGCACCGCGCCTCAAAAGCGAGACGGAGGCGGCGCGGAAAGAAGGCGGAAGTCCCAAAATCGTGGTAGAGGCGGTCACCGCTAGGGAGCTTTTTGGCGGAGGCGGCGCGGCCGCCTGTGCTTTCTTTTTCAACGAGGTGCGGAGCGGTGCGGTCGCCGGGCGGCCGCCTGGCGGTCCGCCTGATAAGAACTGGAGAAATCCATTATACCAATTTTTTCCAAACTTATTGCACTATAGTATTGCTCAACACATAACGGGCCACTTATTAACATTCAAATATGAACGACAACATAAAATTGAAGGGACCATGAAAGGATGTACTGTTTAACAAGATTTAACTAGACATGTACGTATTGATATAGCATTATTTTTCGTGTTAATTTATTTTACACTTGAGTTGCACAAATTCAAGTTTAGAATAACTTTAAAAACTATTGGGTTGGTGGAATGAAAATTGGACACTTGAATATTTTTTTAAAATTTATTTATTTAATAAATAAATAATATTAGTCAATTATATAATCGCCATCATTATCTACTACTGCTTGCCAACGCGTAGGCATAGCATGAATGCCTTCAGCATAAAACTCCTTTGGCTTTGAGCTGAAAAAGTTGCTAAGATATTCTTGAATATCTTCTTCTAGTGTCTAATTTTCATTCCGCCAACCCAATATATTCTTCCGAATGAAATTCATCAAATTCAGATATAGGTCAATTTAATATCGGAATAATTTTTAATGAGCATTGCTTAGTATTCAATCTTTAGATTTAATCAATAAGTATGAAAGTGAGGTGGTAAAAGTTAAAGGTATCTCAAGCAAAATGACTATTAACGATTTAATCTGCTTCCGTTACTTTTCAATGTTTGATGCTTGTTTTTTGTTAAAGATTCCTGATGAAGTCTAGGAAAAATTTTCAACTTGGACAAAAAAAAGAAACAAAAGGACAGTATCAAGCATCACAATTTGCTCGAAGAAATTCTTGAACTAACATATAAGTTGCGGGTTTTTTTTATTAATATTCACATAGACAGCCATGATTCTATAAAATCATTAAAAAATTTTACTCAGAGAGGCGGGTGCGGGGCGGCCGCCAGCGGACATATTATCTAGAGAGGCGGACGCGGAGCGGACGTCCCTAAAACTTTTTTTCGGCGGCGCGGCCGCCCAAAAACCGCGCCATGTTTGACATTAGGGCGGGGCGGACCGCCCTCCGCGCGCGCGGTGCACATCTCTGTTACCTTAGAGTGCATTTATGTGTTTGTAGATGTCTCTAGATTGCAAGTGATTTCAAACAAGATCATAATAATTTTTGATTGGATACGATGAAAACAAACTATAGTTTGTTTTTGTTTTGAATTGTGATCTATGAACGTCTATTATCCTGTTTTTTTTTTAATGTAAGGATAAATAAGATGCCTGTGTAGAAACAAAAATACAAATCAGTTTTTTATCATTGGAATAAAATAACTATATGATTATAATTTTCAATAGTAAACTTTCAGATTATTCGAAATAAAAATTTCTTCATTTATTAATTTCACAAAGAAAACAATGAGTTCATCGTCATCATCAACATCAGCATCTGGACCACAAGCAGGGATGCCACCTCATGAAGTCGAAAAAGCGGAAAATTGACTTAGAAAAGCGGAAAATTGCGGAAAAAAAGACCGAAAAAGCGGAAAAAAAGCGGAAACTTATTTCGTCGCGGATTTTTAGCATTTCTGAGAATTTTGAGTGTTTTTCATATCTATAGCATTCTGCTTTTATTTTAACAAAATTGCAAAACATAAAATATTGTTGAAATGAATAAGAATGACTATGCTTCACTCCATGGTATACGAAAGTACCTTCTTCAGCTGCTGTTTTTTTTCAACCTCCTTGTTGGATTTGATAGTTAATGTTATCAATTGTCGATTTATACGAAATGATTTTATGTTGTTGTTGTGTCTTTCAACTTTATGTGACGATCAATGTTATTTTTTCCACCGTCCTGTACTGAAAAATGTTCATTAGAGGCAATACAAAGAACTTTAGCTGAATCTGGTTTATACTCTCGTAAAAATGATGCGAACTGAGGACTAAGTAGCCATTGTGGATTAAACATGCCTTTTTTTCTCTTTTGATAACTACCTAGTATGGCTTCAACATTTTTATTTTCATTTGATTCCAGAATTGGTGATGCTGTTATTAAATTCTCACGATCTGTTTCATCTTCATTTGTAATCTCAATATCTGTAGATCATTAAAAAACATTTAAATTTTTGGATTCAAGATTATTTTGCGTACATACAATAGGCAAAATAAGTTGAAAAGGAGTTAACTATCAATTGGAAGCAGAATGATATTTTAAATTCACAAACAGACAATTAGTGCACAACCCCTCTAACATAGAAAAGCTTTGTGTTCGTCCATTGATTTTATGAATGACATAATAAGAGTGATGATTAACTGGATACGTGAAGAGTAAGACTTTATTCGACAATAATAAGTTTTGCTCTGTACGTATTTTGAAAACACATCACCTTTTTATATCAAAAAGCGGAAAAAAGCGGAACAGCGGAAAAATAGCGGAAAAAAGGTGAAAAAGCGGAAACTTTCCGCAAAAAGCGGAAGAGGTGGCATCCCTGACCACAAGTGTAAGTTGAGTTGAGATATACTCGTTATTCACACACACATTCAGCGTAATGCTTTGAGCGTGAGTACTGACAACGTCAGTACTTATGACTGTGTGTTGTGCGTCTAAAAAAAATATTGTGGCAGCTTGTTGCACATTGAGTAAAGTGTCCAATAGCAGATCGTTTTGTTAATAAAAATATTATATGTCTAAATTATGATCGTAAACACCATGATTAAATAAAGTTTGGTAAACACATAGGCCTATATATATTTTTTGTGTCAGGAGAAGAAATAGAATTGACTTGAGTACAAAAAGCGCGACAATAAACAAATCTTGAAATAGTGGAGTTCAATCAAATATAAGGTCGAAGGTTCAAAGGATTACGTGTTTCTTTAGTTATCGAAAGATTCTATGAAATTGTTGATTTAAGAATTCATTCCTATAATACTATTTGCCGTTAGTCCTGTCAATGTTCTATCATGATTATAAAATGTGAGATGTACTCTTATTTATGAATATCTGTATATAGACAAGAAAAAAATCGTACTCTTTGACCATATTCATAAATTATTTGAGAAACTTCTTGTTTAATCATCATTTAATTGAATCATACTAAATGTGTTTTTCTTAGGTTATTTTGTTTATTGAACTCTTGATTTTCGTTCCTTTTATTCGTGTCAAAAATTATTTCATATTCTGTTATTCAAAAATTTATGTTTCCATCATTGAATAGATTTTGTTTTGTATAAAATAATGTGACCCATAAGCCTAATTATTGAAGAATTGTTTGTCGCAAATTTTCAAATAAGACTTGATACATCGAGGGAAAAAAACATTTTTACACCCCTAGACAAAAGTCTTTCCCCCTCCTTTTTTTTCTGCATTGCATATTTAGTATGGAATTTCTTGTCAATCGGAAGAGTGAAATGAGTACTTTATTTTGTATAGTCCGTAACTAACCATCATTTGATTCATTCAAGATAACTGCACGGGTATTAATATACTATAGACCAATACAACAACTAGGTCAGGTGCCATAATCGTCTATGAGGTTTTATTTATGCGTTTCATTCTGAGAATACTTTCGATCTTTGACACTTTTATTTTCATTATCGAGTTGAGATTCTCAATCGGACTAAGCGGAATATACACGTTATTAATTGAGACTGTATAGTCGATAATGAAGATAAAAAAAAAACGCCAAAAATATTAGAACTATTCTCAGAATGAAACGTAATAAGACTTCATAGACGACTATGACAGCTGACCTAGTTGATGTATTGATCTATAGTATGATAATATTCGTGCAGTTACCTTGAATGAATCAAATAATGATCAGTTACAGACTATAAAAAATAAAATACTCATTTTATTCTTTCGATTGACAATGAACTCGATACTAAATATGCAATGCAGAAAAAAAAGGGAGGGGAAAGACTTTTGCCCAGGGGTGTAAGACACGAAAATTATGCTGTTGAATTTTTCCAATATTATAAAAAACTCATTTCTCAAATTTTTGATCGAAAATAGAATTAAAAATATTTGAGTATTATTGGAGACGTTCTATACAGTTGTGCTGAAATTCTACTGATAAGTTTATTCAAAAGTATCTCAAAATGATCCTCAAACAAGTTACTTATGAAACCTAATCTTATTTCCAATAATAAAAAGAACTGAACAGTGCAAAAATCTGATTTTTGCCATAAGATATCGAGACATATACTGAGAAGAATTTTGTGAGTAGAAACAAGATAGTATATGCTCTAGTCTCCTAGAACATGAAAGGTCTAATGCCATGGAGAAACAGCAGAGACTTCGCTCTTGAAGTCTCTTAACGTCTTCGGAAATCTCACGACGTCTTCTGAAGTCTTGGAGCCATAGTTTTTAATACATATTCAAGTCTCTCGAAATTTTGAAGTCCGCTATTTTCTCCTCACGAACTAATCTGATTAGTTGTCATGTCCGATGCGATCCGAATGAGAAAAAAAAGGACGCGCAGTTCTTGCTTTTCAATAAACCTTTGACTAAATTGTAACAGATTATTTTGAAGATCAAGTAACAGAAATCGTCTTGAACTTCTAGCGAAGAAAAAAGTCATGTGGACGTTGTCATTCTTAAGCATTTTTTTTTCAATTTTAGGTCGTTACAAGTATCTTCATATTTTTTATTGTGGCACTCGTGAAAGTGTCCATAACATCTATGTGATCGATCAACAATGGCAATCGTACAAATATAGTTATGGTAAAGATAGATCGCAATGATTTAGATAAATTCATCTTCACATTCATCTATTCAATCATTACCACTGCTCTTTTATGTTTTCATTTAACTTCGTCATTATATCTTTTTATCATCATTCACCAACAAGTTCGATTGAATAAATTTCTTCATAAAGTAAGATAAGATATTTTAAATGCTATAGAAATCTCAGAGTACGTATTTTTCACTTTCTAATTGTTTGTCTTTTTCATATAGATATTCCTGATAGTAAATCTCTATTGTCGGTCTTTTTTCATCAGTTAATTGTGTTACATGTTCATGGTCGTTAGGTTTTTTTAGTTTCATCTTCCTCGTACCTTGTCCAAATTCTAATAGTCACAGTCTTTAATCAAATCTCATTTGGTTGCGTGTAATGGAGTATGTTGCTTCTTGTTTCTTGTGAGAACTAAAAATTTTAGAGTGTCAATTAACATTAACTATGACTTGTGCATGATATGAGAAGATAAGAAAAAACTAGAACAATCGACAGAAACTTGTGTTGTGTGTCTTAGAAAAGTGATGACAGGAAACTGAAGGGAAATAATCGCATAGTATGGACACTACAGAAGAAAGAAAGAAGAGGAAAACATATCAACTGTAAATACAGAACGAGAAGCAGAAGAAAGAGAGAGTGACAACGGTAAAACTATAACGGCATGAAAAATCGAAATGATCAGGAAGTTAAGAAGCATCTTTCAAGACTGTATTTCCTAGATTTTATTTATTTGAAACCACGGTTTTCATAAATTTTTGTTTGGAAATTTCCATATAAATCATATATTTAACGGAGCTAACTTTTGTTATATTTTAGAAGTTGGCAGAACATGCAATTGTAGCACTACTTCATGTGTTGGATATAATATTATTTCTACGAGCAGTTAAGCCGATCATATCTCTTCAAATTCTTATCTCAGTGAGTAAACTTGTAGGGTGTGGGTGGGCGTGGGTGTGGGTGGGTGTGGGTGTGGGTGTGGGTGTGGGTGTGGGTGTGGATGTGGGTGTTGGTGTGCCTGTGAATAAGGAGATGATCCACGCTCCACACTCCATACTCCACACTCCATACTCCACACCAACACCCACACCCACACCCACCCACACCCACACCCACACCCACACCCACTCCCACCCACCCACACCCTCTGAATTTCACGAGAAAATTTTTGGACTTGTATCACTGTGATGAAAGCTTTGGAAGATACTGACTCAAATACTAATAAGACAATAATAGTAGATCCGTAATACCGACAAATTTAAAACAAATGAACAATGCTAAATATTTATTTTTCTATTTAATATAAATGTCATTGATTAAATTAGCAAACTAGAAAATTGTTTTAAAATGCATTTTTGACTTGTCATAATATGTTGAGAAAAGACGTTAAAAAATCTGGAGTGTCTTTTTGTTAAAATGTATTTATCTGACTATCTTTGGGATGGATGAAAATTAACAAATGTTGGTGGAAATAAAAATCAATGTTCGAACAAAATTAGTCGTCTATTTCAATTTTCAATGTAGTTTTGGTTTCCGAACATCGAACTTTTTTGTTACTTGTCGAACATTACAATTTTGAAAAGAATTAAAATATACTATCGGCAGGCACACAAATTATGAAGATAGCCCTTTGGAAAAAATTTATTTAAAATAAACTTGAACATTGGGGAGGTGGAAGAAAAAGGACCATTTCTTAGTCAGTCCTCAATATTAGACAAAGTATGACTTTCCTAAAGAGCCTCGTCTCGAATTTTCAGAGTTTTTAGATTTTCAGCATCTCGTTTTGCCTTCTTTTTATCGTATAGGTTAATCATATATGTTGTATGCTTCTTCATGGAACGACTTTCTTTCGTATGTGTATAACAATCAGAACTCAAGAAAACACTTCAACAACAAATAATCCAACTGCTGCTTCTACTGTTCAACCTATTGTTGATATATCTGCTAATCCACCTGCTGATCTTATTGTTCAACCTATTGTTGATATACGTGCTAATTCACCTGTTCATCCTACTGCTGATATACTTGTTCATTTATCTGTTGATCGTACTGTTAATATATGTGCTGATCCACCTATTGAACTTTCTGTTCTTCCAATATCCAAATAACTTGGACACAACATTAATAACTTTCTTTGTCTTTCATTTTTTTTTTCTCTAAAACATAAAAGTTTTTTTTTTGATTCATGATACATTAGTATATTTTCTTTTCTATTTTAGAGTCTTCACTTGGTCCATTTTAGTTTGAGCAACCATCAAGTGATTGTCAAAGTTGCCGAATTATCTGGATAATTATATCTCGCCGAAGACCATGATACGAGGCTCGAATTTGAAATAAATAGGACACTGATGTTCATTCTACAGAGTGTCCCATAAATAACATGGCGATAAAAAATTTAAATATCTTCAGTCCAACTCAAATCAAATGGGCTGATTTTTTGGTTAATGAACATTTATTCAAAATTTTTTTTTATACGGATAAAGTAAGTAAACACTACTTTTAAGTATTATGATTGATCTCATCAAAAAAAAAGAATGTAGCTGTTGTCAAGTAAGAAAAATACATGTGAAGCATTCTCTCGATAATTTTCAGTTATTATCTCAAGTAATGCCAAGAGGAACTCAAAACAAACTCTATAAATCATACTAGATTGATGTACGTAGAGAAAATTTCCTAAACCAGTTAGTTTAAATGCTGAAATTTATGTCTAACCACTAAAACACACAGTTGAAACCTTTCAGGTACTGAATAAGGATGTTTCCAGCAAAAATAAAACAGTGTTTTACGCGTGAAAATTCGAAATATTGTAACTACTGACTTTTAAACTAACTGATTTAGGAAATTTTCTCTATGTACATCAATCTAGTATCATTTATAAAGTTTGTTTTGAGTTTCTCTTGTCATTCTTTGAGATAACTACTGAAAATTATCTAGAGAATACTACACATGTATTTTTCTTACTTGACAACAGCTACATTCTTTTTTTTTCGTGAGATCAATCATAATACTTAATATTAGTGTTTACTTACTTTATCTGTATAAAAAAAAATTTGAATAAACGTTCTACCGTTAACCAAAAAATCAGCCCATTTGATTTGAGTTGGAGTGAAGATATTTAAATTTTTTATTGCCATGTTATGTATGGGATACTCTGTATAAAATAGTTAAACTTGAACTGTCATTCATAGATGATCATCGTAAAGATAGCCTTAGCATAGGATGTAATTTTTTCCATTCATATGCGATAGTGTGTTGTGTAATAGTTGTACCATCGGTACAGATTTTGACGACTCATGTCTATGTGAGACCTATGTTTTCGCATTCGCATGGATTGAGTTTGAGAAAGAATGATTTTCTATCTGTAGTGTTGTCTGCTGAATCAATTAATACGTCATACTATTTCTATTTATTTTGTTAAGAGAAGTAAAGTGTTTGCAAGCTTTTTTAACTGAATCATCATGGCATATACTCCAGCAAATGAAAATGGTAAACAAACTTCACCTATACTTTCATCACCCGAAAAACAATCACAATATTATATTGTCAACAATGGTGTAAGTTATACTTCTATCTCTTCGTTTTTTTCTAAGCAGCTTAGTGCATTCCATCAATCGATAAGAGATTATTATTAATTACAATATTTCGACTTCTCTCATCGCCTGAACACTTGATGGAAATGTGTATTTTTATAGTCAACTACTTATTAGAGAGCTAAAGTTGTTATGTTTATCTAGTTTCCCATTATTATATATAAAAAGTTAATGTAGTATTTTGTTTAAACATATATTACTCAAAATTTTTTTCTAATATATAGTTATTTTTATGATAAAAATTATATTGCAAACAAATGGATTTTGCCATAAAAAGAAATTTACCAGTGCGTTTCTTTTAAAATCTATTATGTCTCATTCAGAAAATGTAGTATGAGTATAACTTGTATAAAGAGTTGAAAAATTGTGTAGGAAAAACGTCTCACTGACAGGGGAGGTAAATTTAGCATTATTTTTGAAACACAAAAGTAACACCTCAGTGATAGATTGAAAGTTAGCTGTTTATCAATACAGAGATGTATCCAAATTCTAATGAACAAATAAAGACTATGTTTAATCTGTCGAGTATTTAAACTACTAGATAAGCCAATATTTACTTTTTAATCAAGGTCACCTAGATAAATATATACTATTATTTTGGAAATGGAAATTCTTAGATGTTCCATTAATCGATTTTAATGAAGTTATCCAATAACAAGAACGATGTCTTTCAGTTATTCTATTTTGCATTTATAGACTTGGTCATTATGGTTAAGCTCGATCGCAATGACTTCGGCGTATGTCTTCCTGACGTTTTGGAGCTTGTATAAAGCTATCCAAGCTTTTGTAAGTATTATTCTTATTTATCTATTTGTCAGCTGTATACATTTATACTCTGAGAAGAGTCATAAGAAGTGTTTTAAAAATACCTCCTAGTCAAACTAGAAATGTCGTCTTAACTTCGAACGGATGAGATGATGTATACGAAACCTCAATTATCGTATCATACCGTACTGTCAGAGATTCAGGAAACTTGAGATGCAGGAGACGTACTGAGAAAAGAGAGAGACAAGAATGAAGGAGCAGGAGACGTTTCATCTTTTGAATCGATGAGTTTGAAGATGGGCCATTTCTGTATGACATGACGTTATTTCTCTCACTTTGACCTTCATCTGCAATATCTTTCATCTCTGGCTGCATCTACTACTTCCTCAACTTTCTGAATACGTAACAACATTCATGCACGAACAAATTTCAAATAGTTTTTTTCATATTCAAGAAAATTTTTTAATATTCTTCAAAAGATGTTTACGTTTTAATTTGGCATACTTGTAAAGCGATCATAAAGTTTCATTAGTTAAATGTCACTAACGAGAGAACGTTTTCATCTGTCAAATCGCTTTTGAGTTCGGATCGGGTGCATAACATAGACTCCAATGAGATATGAAAAAAATCGAAATAATGAGTGTCCTTAGATCTTCTCTCCAGAGTTATAGGCATTTTATTGGAATTTTAGTCTATCGTATGGTATATACCAATAAATCGAATGACGGTATTTCGACCTGAGATTTTGCCCATAGATAGGTCTATTTGTGAGTGGAATACTCTAAAAAGTATAGCTCAAACGAATTTTTTTTTCCCGAGATATTAAAGTCCCAAAAATTAGTCGTATCTCATGAAATATGCTAGAATTTTCTGTTTTTTGGGACTTTAATATATCGGAAAAGAAACATTCGATTGAGCTGAACTTTTTAGGATACTCTATTGACAAATAGATCTATCTATGGGTACAATCTCAGGTCGAAATACCATCATTCGATTTGTTGGTATATATCATACGATAGGCTAGAATTCCAATAAAATGCTTATAACTCTGGAGAGAAGGCCTAAGGGCACTTATTATTTCAATTTTTTTCATATCTCATTGGAGTCTATCTTATGCACCCGATCTAAACTTAAAAGTGATTTAACAGTTAAAAACGTTCTCTCGTAAGTATACATTGTGCAGAGTACTTTATTATACTATCAGTATGTCAGATGTTTTCCAACTGACATCTACAAGAACGAGTAGCTTCTTTTTTTCCGTCATTAGATTTTTAACAACTAAAATAATAATTAATTTTTGCATACATATAGTTTATGTACGAAAGCGGTTTGAGAATAATTCTATGGAAAAAGCTTTTAATAGAGAGAACAAAACTAGGAAAACCTAATTTAAGCTTTAAAATTCGGCATTATTGAAAACAAAAAGAGATCAAAATTCAGGAAGAAAACATCAAATTTTTACTTCAATGCTACATGAGTACATTATACAGATTTGTAGTTTTCTCAACGAATTCTCATTCTATAAAGATGAAACTTTCACAGGAAGTTAACTAATCAAAGATTTATTTGGAGTGTAGATATGAAAACAAGTGACAATGGTCGAGAGAAATAATTGAAAAAATAAGGTGTGTAGATTATTGTGGCCAGGGAAAATACATTTGTGCGATGAGATATTTTAAAAGAAGTTGTTATCGTTCAATTATTGAATTTTTCTCCATTGTGCTCTACTTTTTTTCATATGAATTATTCGCTTGATTTGAAGACTTTTTGTTCGATCAGTTTTGTCCTGTAAATATAAACAATTATATGATTATGCTCCATCATTTAATGTTATAATAACTTTGATTTGCTGACGAGGCTTTTCTTTCTACACTTGTTTATCGCGAGGAATACAAAAAAAACAATAAATGCTTGTGCGGTATTGAATCCAGAATTATTTTGAATAATATCAAAATACTATTACTTTGCTGAATAGGCATCAATTAATATAAAAATTTCAAAAATATTTTTAAATATTCAATAGATCTTACCAATGGATTCGTCTTACACAGATGGCTATTTATTTCTAATGATCTTCTTAGCGATGATCATTTTACATGCATATGTGCTCTTTGCAATAATTCCCTGTGGTATCCATTTACGACTTATTATTGTCGCCAAGTTAACCATGCTTCTACATTCTGTTTTGTCATATTGCCGAGTAAGTGATAGATTTCGTCCATATTTTATTATGAAAAACCAAACTATTATAAAAACAAATTAATACTAAGGGTCGAATAAGCTTTTACGTTTGAAGAAAGTACATTTGAGAAAAATTTGTTCGAAAAAAGTTGAGTAACTTTTTATCATCATAAAAAGACTTTCTTCGTAGAAGTAAAAGCGTATTTGCTGGCAGTGACCGAACTTTCCGTCGCAGAACAAATTGTTGAGAGATAAATGGTTGGGACAAAATGCTGCAATAGTTCATAGTCCAAAATATTTATGCATTACCAACCATTTTTGCAGAAAGCAGTAGTAAAAAGTGGAGAAAAATAATAAGGAACTACTAAAGTTTCTGGAAAAATTTGAAAACTGAATTGAAAAAGGATCCACACATTTACAAAATCCATGAAGTTTTCTACTATCACATTAGAAGAATTTTTTTGTATTAAAGTCTTTTAGGTTCTCTTAATGAAATAAAAGTTTTGGATTATACTGCAAATTTTTCGTATATTTCTTGACAAGGTGTCTGTTGCTCATGTAATTTAACAGAGTTTCAAGTAAGATTCCTTCGGATGTACTTTGACAAAAACCTTCGTGGATTTTGTAAAAGTGCGAATCCTTGTGTAATTCAGTTTTCAACTATTTTTCAGAAACTATAGTAGTTCTTTATTATTTTTTTCCACTTTTCACTATTACTTTCTGCTAAAATAGTTGGTGATGTATAAATATTTTGCACTGTGAACTATTGCAACATATTTTCTGCAACGATATGTCCTGCCGCGAGCAGTCCTAATGCCTTTCTTGGCATCGATTTTAATAGCTTGACGATCAGAATAGTTTGATTGAATCAAAGTAAAGTGAATCATTTTCTACAGACATAACTGATAATGTATATAGTTATAAAGATCAAATGTTTCTTCGATTAATACAGAGTTGGAGACTTTGCGTATATTTCAGATGAGAAAAAAAAGTACGAATGTCAGTAAATACTTAGTGTTTAGAGTTTCTGTCTGAGCACAGAATTCTTATATTAAACAATAATTATCTCCAAAAAAAACAAATTCTTCAATTAATGTATCAAATTGTCTTCGACAATACGAGTTTATTTCTTGACAGTTGATTACCATACCTAAACAATATATAATTTATCTTATTACTTCACAGTTATGATGAAACATTCTTATGATGAAGAAAGAGTGATTCGAGAGGACGAATAAACCGTGACATATAAAATAATCAACTAAAAGTGACAAACGAAAACAGTAAGTGTGCATAAAACTTGAAGGAAAGGTTGGCGAATATTACGTTTTCCCTCTCCGATTACATATATAAAATTTTCTGTTAATAAATTTTTATTATTAATATATTTATCAATGATTGTAGTATGCACACTAAACAAAACTCAACGAGTGTATATATATATACAGGGTGGCCCAAAAGTAAGGAAACATAAAGAGTATTCCATAATAACTGATGATAAATTGTTAATGATATTTTTCTTACTTGGCAACAGCTACATTCTTTTTTTCGTGAGATCAATCATAATAATTAATATTAGTGTTTACTTACTTTATCCGTATAAAAAAAAACTTTGAATAAACGTTCTACTATTAACCAAAAAATCAGCCCATTTGATTTGAGTCGAAGTGAAGATATTTAAATTTTTTATCGCCATGTTATTTATGGAACGCCCTGTAGTTGCATTGTCAGTGTAAATTTGATAGTATTTTGGATATTTTGGCAATCTGTGTTTTTTTATTTTCTAATAATCATTGATTAAATTGATCAATACTGCTTGAAGAGATGTTAAGGTTGTTCATGTTGTTATTTTTCTATCTTATAGGAACAGTATTATCTACTGATGACAACAATATCCAATTTGCTTTCCAAGTTACTAATGAAACTCAAATCTACTTATCGTTCATCTGTTGATTTAAATGAACAAAATATCACCATGGTCTAAAAATTATTATCACATTGTTAGTTCTAGTTGATGTATATAAATATATATATATATATTGTACATATCCGCCGATGCTCAAAAATTAATTGAGAATCTTTTCGAAAGAAAGGTTTTGATATTCTTTATTGCTGATCATCTGTTAACATTATCATATATCAATTATGAACTAAACACACTGTATAGATTTTGCATATATGTTTGTTTAATATGAAATCAATACTCATCAATAAAATTTGCATTGTTTGTTCAATAGAAAGTGTACTTCTCGTATATCTATATTGGTCTTAAAGAAAAAGTTCTCAGAAAATAAATTGTTAATATAATTATCTAGCATGTTTTATTACATGAACTGGTTTTTGCTTAGGAATGAAGTGTAAACATTATTTAGACAATTAATTTTCAAAACACCAATATTATTTTTTGATTAGCTAGACTGCAACTAATAGTTCAATATATAGGGTGTCCCAAAAGTAAGGAAACATAGAGGCTGTTCCATAATAACTGATGATAAATTGTTAATGATATTTTTCATACTTTTTATTAATCTAGAGAGCTGAAATTTTTATCACATATATATTTAATTAAGACCTTATATTTTTGAAAGTTTCAGTTCCCTATATCAATAAAAAGTATGAAAAATATCATTAACAATTTATCATCAGTTATCATGGAATACTCTTTATGTTTCTTTACTTTTGGGCTACCCTGTATGACATAAGTGACGTAGAAAAATTTACAAAATGATTCAAAAATCTAATGAATAAAATCAAATAAAATTGTCGAATGACTATTATGATGTCTTTCTATATGAATTAATTGTTTTTTTTCCTGATGACAGAAGTTTTTAAAAGATATTTTAACATGATATGATCAAAACAAAATAATAATTTTATTTAGTTCAAAATATTATATCAATAGGTGCAAGTGCACATACAATGTATTAAGCGATCTCATTCATAACTGTGTTTATGTGTCCGCGGATGTTGTCCAACAGAGTAAAAAGCTTTCCAAATCTTTTCTCTGGAGTCGGTGATGATTAAAAAGGAACAAACTCGATCTTTCATCTTGAGAACAAAATAAGACATCTTTATATCTTATTCATTTTTGTGTCATATTTCTTCAAACTGTTTATTATTATTCAATCTTCTATCTTTGAACGTTCATATAACAACATTTCTGAGTATTTTTCTATAATATTTACTTTTTTATTTTTCATAAGAATGAGTTTCTTTTGCCGGTAGTGAACTATTATCGAATGGAACTATCTGTACATGCAGTTTTGCTCCACGAAAAGACATCTTTTATTAAAAGTATGTCGAAACTATGCAAAAAATAACTTGAGGGTGTGGATGTTGATCGATGGAGAAGACCAATATCCACAATCACCCCTTCAGATTTACAGCAGCTCAGTGCATAGAAAATAACATAAAAGCTGAACTTCTAGAAAAAAAATTACAACTAATTGTTCATTCATATAAATTCGAGCTAAGATTACAAGACAACAAAGAAGAAATATCATCTGGATAAGGTTACAAACTCAATATTTTAGTTCAAACTTTATCTTTTTGACTGATGACCCATCTTGATATTAATACTATTCGATACAGAATTACACTCCACACCAAGCACAACCAACACGAGAATCAGTAGTGTTAGGAGCGAATGCCAGTAAGAAATATTCTATTCTGTTGCTAAGTTTCCTTACATCTTACAAATCACCATCTAACTTCTTCAATTGATAGAGATGACCAGTGATTTTAATTTTTTCTTTCACGAAATTATGGTATTTATTTTGTTTATTTTGATCCAGCTGATGAAGTATTTCATTATCAATCAGCTCGTCGATTTCAAAAATCAGTCATGATACAAATGACATGTTTATTTTGAATAAAAGGGAAAGAATGACACACTGCAGAATTTTCTCCTGATATAGATGGATAATATCTTTTTCTTTGTTTGAATCAGAGGTAATATATAATTTTATAGTACTCATTACACTGCGTATACCTGCATGAAGTAGATACAAAGTGTTTCGTTTTACATTTTCTTTTTGTTTATTCTATTTCTTGGAATTTTCCTTTTCTCTTGGATTAGATAATTTATAGTACAAAAAAACAAATGCTATTTAGAAATGATTCATTCATACATATAAGAAATCTTATGTTAAGTACGTCATCTATAATCGACACTATTATTCGTTGTCGACAATGAACGAATGAATATGTAGTTAGTTGTACTTGCTAAGTATGAGAATTATTTTTCGTATTTTGTTAAAAATTATTATTACTCAATAATGCTAACAAAAAACTTTTCCGGTGCTCTTCAATTAACTGATTTAGATGATTTTATTGGTCCATCTCAGGTATTTCTATTAATTTTGCTTTTTTATTCTCATATTTTCTCTTGATTTTAGCAATGTATAATACCTATGCAAACAAAACTTGCCGATAATACCGATGATGGTCTTATTAAATTACGTACAAAAAAATCTAATGTATAAATATTTATTTTTATTTTTATGAAATATTTTTTTTCTTGTTTTTTGGATACTTTATAGAAAATCGAAGAAGAATCAACACCAAAAGTCGCTAAAATAACATTGAATGATTGTTTAGCATGTAGTGGATGTATTACATCGGCTGAAAGTATTCTAATTGATCAACAAGATTATCATGAAGCACAACGTGTACTTCAACTTAATCAATCACTTGATCAAAATGTATGTTGATTTTTATTTCATATCTAATTAAATATTATTTTAATTTAGGATCCCAATCGAAAAATAACTGTTATTTCAATTTCTCCACAAAGTCTTTCATCACTTGCTGTTAAATATAAACTCGATGGATTAACATGTGCACGACGAATAACATCATTTTTAAAAACAAAGTATAAAAAATAAATTTCAAATTAAAATATTTTTTTATTTCAATTTTCTATTATAGATTAAAAATTGATTATGTTTATGATATATCATATGCACGAAATTTTTCTTTAATTGAAATGAAAAATGAATTTATTACACGATATCAAAATAATCATCAAAATTTACCATTACTTACATCCGAATGTCCAGGTTGGATTTGTTATGCTGAAAAAACTCAAGGAGAATATATCATTCCGCATATAAGTCGAGTAAAATCACCACAACAAATTCTTGGTTCACTTATAAAAAAAGATAAAAATAAAAATATTTATCATATATCAATTCAACCATGTTATGATAAAAAACTTGAAGCATCAAGACAAGATTTTTATGATGAACAACGACAACAATATGATGTTGATTGTGTTATATCAACCGGTATGTCATGTAATTTCTAAAATATTATTTAGATATTTTTATCATATCGTTCAAAAACAAAAAAAGAAGGAATTAGAACTTTATCTATATTCTATACAAATTTTGATTTTAGGTGAATTTGATAAATGGCTTACTGAAGAACAGTTTGATCCTCAATCGAATTCTGATCTTGATTATGATGAACCGTATGATGAAGCTAGTTTTTTTCTTCCAACTCGTAATAATATATTGTTAATAGATATTGTATGAAGGATGAAAATGGTCAAATGATTCTTACACATCGTGGTAGTGGTTCAGGTGGTTATCTTGATTATATATTTCGTTCTGCTGCTAAAGAATTATTCAATGTTGATTTAGATGATGGACCATTAGAATTTAAAGTTACTAAGTATAAACATGTGTTTTTTTTGTATATAAGAAATTTTCTATTTGTTTGTTTGTTTTTTATTAAAGAAATCAAGATTTTCGTGAAACTATTTTAACCATCGATGGACAAGTTCGACTTCGTTTTGCTTATGCCTATGGTTTTCGAAATATTCAAAATATAGTTCAAAAACTTAAACGAAATAAATGTGATTATGATTTTGTTGAAATTATGGCATGTCCATCTGGTTGTGTCAATGGTGGTGGACAAATACGTAGTACTGATGTTAATCTTGATGATGTTCGACATATATATGAAACATTACCTCATCTTAATCAACCGTTAAATTTGAGAATAGATGAAGAAAATCATATTTCATTATTTACTGAATATCGACCTATTGAAAAAAATATTTCAAATACTTTTAATTTAAAATGGTAAATTTTTGTTTTGTTTGTTTTAGATAAATAATAAGAAAATAAAAATGTCAGTTGATATCGTTGTTGCTTCACAACTAGCACCATATGATGATGAAGAAGAAATACTATTGATGGATACTGATGCAACAAATTTACAAGTAGAAGAACAATTAATCAATACAACTACAAATGATGTTAGTCAAGAAAAACAAGAAGAAAATAACGATAATAATAAAACAGAAAAAGAAGAAGACAAAATGCCATCATTCCTTGTTATTGAGGTTTGTTCTATTGTCGAAAAAAAAAGCGATTAATATATTTATTTATTATAGAAACTCAAAGTATATATTCGAGATGGACCTAATAGTCATCATGTAGAAACAATTTCAGCAGTAAGTACGAAAGAATCTGTTGAAATAACTGTTTATTATCTTATTTAGAATGAGAAATATTATGAATTACCAACTGCTGAACAATTAGCATCAATCAAATTAACAGAAGAGGAAATAAAAGATGTTTGGCAAAGGTAAAGAAATATTCAAGTCGAAATTAGAATTGCACTAAAATATAAATCGAACAAATCAAAAAAACAGTTTACTGTTCAAAAAAAAATAAAGACTTTGTTTTTATTTCACAAACTCTTCATTTGTTTTAATTCTAACTGTCTTCAACTTGATCACTTTATATATCTAGTCGAATTTCAATATCGGTTTTAACATATATATATACTTTTTTTTTCCTCTTTTTAAATTTCTTTTATTATTATTTCTTTTTTTAGTTTAAATTTGACTAAAGAAGATTTTCGTACGTCATTATCACCAAGTGGTACATCACGTCCTGAATCTCTTTATGTTCGTGGTGTAAATAATATGGGTACACAAGAAATTTTAAATTGTTTTGAAGATTTTCAACCTATTGGTATTGAATGGATTTGTGATCATTCTTGTAATGTCTTTTGGTATGATACTTTAACTCCAATTCATCTTCTTGCAACAATGTCAACACCCGGTCCATGTATATCTCATCGACGTCCAGTAAATTATGATCATAGTATGCGATTATCCAAACGAAAATTATCATCATTAACATCTACAAATAGTAAAAATGATTCAACTGATGTTGCTCTTCCACCTGGTAATTGGCGTGAAGGAAATTTTCCATTAGTTAATAAACCAGGATCAACTATTAAATTATATCTTCGATATACAACACTAGATGATCGAAAAACACGTGGTGCTGAAAATCAATCAGAATATTATCGACAATATGGCAATCCAAATTATAAGTAAAAGAAAAAAGAAAAATATATTCAAATTTTTCATATTGATTTTTTATTTTTTTTTCTAGTAACATGACTGGTCTTATATCTCGTTCAAAAAAACGTGCATTAAATGCAATGAAATCAAATCGTTTTCGAGATTTTACTGTTGTCAAATCGAATGATCTGACATCTACATCGGGTAGTATCGTGGAAGAAATACCAACAACAACAACAACATCAGAAGAAAATACAACGGATGCAAAAGTTAAATTTACTGTTGTTCTTCCACCGAAAAAAACTTCACCAAATGAAGAAGATGAAGATAATGATGATGAAGAAGAACATAGATCAAAACGACAACGACGACGATCGTGGGATAAAGATGATGATGATTATGATGATCGACAACATAAAGAAAAACCTCATTTTACAGTAACTATTGATCCAGCATCTAAACATACAAAATATTCAAGAAATAAAACTAATGAATCATCCAAATCAAATAAAGAGTAAGAATATATTTTTTATACAGATTATTATTTTTATTTTATTATTCTTATTTTTTTAGTAATGATGATAGATTAACATCTGTAACTGATGCTCGACAAATTCTTGAAAGAAAACGAAGAAATCGAAGATAGTTTTCAAATTAGTTTTTTGTTCATTTTCTTTTTTTTTCTTGTATTATAAAAGAAGCATGTTCCATACTAATTCCGAATAAGATTTATATGTTTATTCTTTTTTTTTTCTGTTACATCGATATCGTCATGTAATCTGAACTTAAATAGAGATAATAAAACTGAAAAACTTGATGAAAGCAATATCACCAATTATGAAGCACTTATTTTTTTTTCGGTTGCGGGAATGTTTGATATTGTTTATGCAGGATAATTAATACATGTGAAGAAAAAAGTAATGTCAATTTCTTGAATTGTTATTGTTATCAAAATAATATTTGTAATTAAAGATATATTATTGGACATTGATTATTATCAAACTCTGAAGACAAGCGAAATCTTATCGATAATTTTGATCTCGAAAAAAAGCTATCGAACACATATAATGATATGTTTGATAATTCTCTATTGTATGTACTACTCCCATGATTAAATACATAAAAAGAGTAATTTTGAATTTCTACATGTTTAACTTGACATCTCGTAGATTTCCTTTTACTGTAAATTGTATGACGAAATTAACTTTATTCATACTTCTTTTCATTCATCTAGTGTACTCTATAAACTACAAATAAAATAAATTAGAAATGAAATCTCAGTATGTGACTCAATTTTGATACTAAACACTTTTGTTTTCAATTTTAGTTATTCAGTCAAATTTGATTTGTATTGCAGAATAGATTCATCAATGAAATACTATGTGACTCTAGCTGTTCAACTGTTTTGTTGTTGTATTGTGTTGTATATAATATATCATTTTTGTTTACGCAAGACTTGATGCCCTAACAGAAGACTACATGTATATAATGCGAAAACAATAAAAATATAACTCATGGATTGTTTTTTGTGTGTATGAATTGAACAACATTTGTGTCTTGGTGATTTGCTTATTTACAGAAGATTTTAGACAATCATACGAAAAAATTGTTGATACAGATAAAAAAAATCTATTTTCTCTTTTCTAGATACTAACAAATGTTTGTTGTGTTTTAGAGTATGTAGAAGAAAAAAAATGTGTTAAGTTTTGTATAATATAGTTTTTTCTATTATACAATACATTTAAATTTGATCCCAAATATTCGTATAGATGTTGGTTTAACGACATTGAAAAATATACGTCTATACTTCAATATAACATCCATAAGGAAAATTATAAGGAAAATAATAATAATAACAATATGTCGAACTATTACTAGTTCATGTCGGGCTTGAAAAATTGTTTGAGTTGATGTTACACGAAGATCCATTTGACGAATATATCTAACAAGCTGTAAATAGATGAACATGATGATTAATACCGAAATTACATACGTAAGCAACATATTATAAAAAGTGGGTATAGAAATTCCAAAACGTAATATACACACTTGATTGTCAGCATTATAAATTATATCATCAGTAGATAGCCATAGAAGAAGAGATTCTATGGAAAATATCCATGAAAAATAAATCAAAAACAATTGAAATTGCACCGATTACCATAAGATACGAGTCGAATAGATAATAACGTTATATCGATATATAGCTTGTGTTGTAAATGAATAGAATAATAATACTGTTCCTACATAACCTAGACAGTCTCGCAAAGCACACAATGAATCTTGAAATACAATTTGTTTTCTATCATCTTCTAATGTGAATAAAGCAGTACTCAACATATTAGAGCCGTAGACAATTTTTGCAAGACATGAATTACAAGTAAGTATCATTGATGCCGTTTGACATGGTTTATTCAATGCCACAATAATGAAAAAGATAAAAGCAAGAAGAAAAGCCAAGATCAATGATAAAATCATTACAATGTTCAGGATGATATGCCATAATTCAAAATCTTTGATTGTTGAATTATTGACTGTAGTCATTAGTAAGTAGGAGAAGAAAAATTTACACAAAACAGAAAGATATATCTGAATTTGAACCAAAAGTGATAGTGAAATAAATAAATCAGCTGTAAAGAGAAAGCTGTTATGTGTTTTAACGTCCTAGGGTAGTAGAATGCGAAGGAAATTCTTTGTTTGTTCTTATTCATCATTCTTTTCAATTTCTATATGATTTCTTTTTCACAGGGTAACGGGTAGATGACTAAACTTACAATGTGCATTGTCGTTACCTTATTATTTTATTTTATTTCTTTTGATTCATTGTTTTCATTCTCTCTAGCATCTTAAGTTTTTTAATAATATAGCAAGAAACTATAACGATACTAGAACCCAAACTAATCAAATTTCTATTAATCTTATGACGAGATCTTTAATGATTGTACGGTTGTTTTCTTTTATCGTAACACCATTAGGTCTATGTGATCTTTTGACAAAATAACTTTCTTCTCAAGTCTATTCATAAGAATTTTCCATTAGGGAATTTAAATAATATAAATCAAAACCGTTGCCAAGATATCTTCTATTAATTACATTAACTTAATCATAGTGATGCGAAAACAATGCAGATATGTAAGACAACGATTGTGAATGATGGTGTAGATGTTAATCAAATATCAGATTAAATTTGCATTTATTGGCATTGGTCACTTGACGACTATTGGCTTATATTTTTTTTAGTAAATTGTATAACTATTCAAGCATGAATATTATTTCTTTCTATAGTCATCTATTCGTCTTCAAAAAAAGTATATAAAATATTGATTGATCAGAGAAGATATTTTATCTCATTGATGGGACAGATATGGTTTTACTATTTTCTATTAAACAACTGAACTATTGAATTTGATCAACTAAAGTTAATCATTATGTAAAAAGAAAAAATTCCATTCCTTATTTAGATCTTTATTTTGTTCATGTTTATCAGCTCTATCCAAATAATAGAAGAAAAAA